TCAGTATCAGTGAAACCTTTCGAGTCGGGGCGATGTGACGCCGTCTGCATTTTTAATGACCTGGAGGTGAGAGAGAGAGGGAGAACTGAAACGTGTGGATGGATTTCTGCAGGTTTGAGGGGGGAAAGTGCTGATTTTTATATGTAGGAAGTAAGACTGGGCAGCTTTTAAAAAGGTATTCTTTACAGCTAAGAGCAGAACCAGAATGATAGCTGTTTTTTTTTTTTAATCCCACAGATTATAAAAACCTGTATGCGAGCAATACTGACGCTAAAAGAACAAACACTGGAAGAACTCCAAATTCCTACTTTTGTTCCCAACCTGAACTCAGCAGTGATGTTTGTGGCTTGAAAATAAGCAAAAACAAGCCGAACGCTAATGACAGAGAGGGAGTGTCGGTGGATGGCAGCTGTTCTCTGAGCTGTAATTTTACCAGGTTTGCACCGTGTTTATCTCAGCGCTCCTTCATTCACGTCCCAGCAGCTGCACTCGTGCCTGCTTCCCAGCGTGTTATTATGCGCTTACGAGCTTACAGCTGTCTGTAAAGTGTGTTCCTGCCAAAAAAGGAAACCCTGAATGTGTGACTATAAGTTTAGATCATATTGTATGATTTTTATTTTTTATTTTTTTAAACTTTAAAGCAGAAATGATTGGTGCACATGCAGCTGCTCCTCCTCACCCTCAGCCTGCACTTGTGAGTGTTTGAGGTTTTAACACATGAACTGCTGCGCTGCTGTGTTCAGGGCTGCGAGGGCTGGACGGTGTGCAGTCGCTGCGAAACCTACAGACCCCCCAGAGCGCATCACTGCCGCGTCTGCCAGAGGTGCATACGCCGCATGGACCACCACTGTCCCTGGTGAGAACACGCCCTCGTCTGTCCGTCGACCTGCCACCCCCCACCTTTACGCTCTGTTTTTACACCTCCAGCATCTTCTCATCTGTGCTTTTCTGATGTGCGTGTGTCATTTTTAGGATCAATAATTGTGTCGGGGAGCTAAACCAGAAGTATTTCATCCAGTTTCTCTTCTACACTGGTGAGCACACAATTCACACTGCCTGTTGAAATGATGACTTTTTAGAAAACACACAAAAGTTTTGTGTAAAGTTTTCACACGCTGGAGGTCTTCACAAAAACACAGACAAAAGTCCGCTCTGGGAATGTGGTGAGCTGCTGCTGCTGCTTTCACCTCAGTTTGAAAAGTGAAGGTAGAGCTTCTCAGGCTGTGACGTGATGTCTGTGCGCAGGTATGGCCAGCCTGTACTCCATGGTGCTGGTGGTGTCGGCGTGGGTGTGGAGAATAAGGAACGAGCGAGGCGGTGACGCAGAGAAGGAAAGCGAGGAGATGCCCAGCAAACACCTGATAGTGTGAGTCAAAGCGACCTGTGACGGCTGGTTTTCAGGGTGAAGCGTCAGGCTTGTGACAGTTTCCTTCTCTTTGTCTCAGGGCGCATTACATCATCCTCCTCGTGGAGTCGGTGCTGTTTGGTGTGTTTGTCATGGTCATCTTCTACGATCAGGTACACACACACACACACACACACACTTTTAAGTATTAGAGATCAGTCTAATGAAAACATGCTGTCAGTCAGAGGTGATGCAGGCATGTTTTAAGTCGTCCCTATTGTGCAGTACACAGCTTCTTTCTGTCTTTGTCTTTCACAATAAAAGCCCTACACATACAGATTGCATTCCTATTATGTATATCTTTGGATTAGTAGAGTAAAACACTGCTGTCATTAAAAAACCCTGAACGGTGTTAAAGAAATGTTACTATATCGCATGTTTGACCGGTGGGTAGCGCAGGTCAAACATGTGAAATTTAGAAGACGACTGTGTCTGTTTTCTGCCAGTAACGTTGAAGCTCCTTAAAGAAACAAAAGGAAAAAAAATCATGTGCCCTCGTTTGTGGTTTGTCTTCTCTCAGCTGGTCTCCATAATCACAGACGAGACTCCCATCGAGCAGATGAGAAACAGGCTGATGATTAAAGACAGGGCTTCTTCGTCCTCTTCATCCTCCTCCACCCCCTCCTCACAGCTGCCTCACCACCCTTCACACACCCGCAAGCCGAAGCTGGCCCTGTTGCGGGAGGTCTTTGGGAGAGGTGCGCTTGTTTTTTGACACCTACGTCTCGCCGGCGCTCCAAATACATAAAGCACTGCTTCATCTCTCTTTCCGTCTTTGCAGGGTCGGTCTTTTGCTGGCTTCTCCCGCTCCACTCCAGCCCTCCGTCAGTTGGAGGCATCACCTACTCCGCCCTGCCTGACTACGACGTCTGACCCGTGGGCACAAGAGGGGACGGAGAGGAGAGAGAAGAAAAAGGGAAGGCGAGGGAGGTTTTTGTGTGCTTGTGTGAGCGCGTGAATGAATTTTTTGCATATTTATGATGTCTTATCTCTGGAACTGAGGGGGTGAGAGTAAAAGGGATGAAGGCTGAGGTGTGAATGAATGAATGAAGAATGAATAATGCAAGTGTGACACTCCTCCAGGACCTAAACACAATGTTTTTGCTCATGAAAACCTATTTCTCATCTTTCCCGGCACAAGGAAAGAGCACTGACCGCCCCCTCCGATGTCTCCTGATGTGCAGTTTTATTACCAGCAGTTATAGGAAAGAGCTACTGGTGTGACTGGTGTGGCTTTTAGACAGTTTCACACTAAACAGACTGAATTAAAAAGGTCTAAATATAATGTCCACTAAACCCAACGACAGACGCTGCTAAAGAGACGTAAATGCAACATGCACATCAAGTGCATCCAAAGCTGTGGGAGGGGGGGAAATGAGATGCGCAGTCGCTTTAATGTTCTTTAAAGAGTAACTCAAAAACAGGTACAAGTCACCTGACCAGGGTTTAAATCCTGACAGGCGAAGAACATGACCTTGTGATTCCTCGTGTTGTGAGGGTGAGTCGATGCCTGTCTTTCATGTTCAGTTGATACACTGATCACCATCAGCTCTGCCTTTAACAATAGATTTCATATCAGCTGAGTTATGAAACTGAGCTTGGCGTCATACTTGTGAGACATCTCTCTGCTTAAAATTTAGTTAAACCTCCAGATTTTTATTCATGGAAATTACTTTTCTATTCAGTTCAATTCAGATTTATTTGTGTAGCGCCAAATCACAGCAACAGTCAGCTCAAGGGGCTTGTAACGTAAAGACCCTCCAGTAATACAGAGAAAATCCCAACAATCACATGACCCCAGTGAGCAGGTGAAACTACACGACCAGCTTTGCATAATTTAAAATTAAAAATAAGCCTTATTTATTTTAAATAAAGCTCCTCCCACTTTAAGACAGCGTTCTTCTCATTGGCTGCCCCTGGTCACTCTGTGCATTTGTGTATGTGTGAAACGTATCATTTGTACAGACAGCGTGTAACCTCATGTGTCCGAAACTTCCTCCAAATATGTGTATGGAGTCGTTCTTTAATCCCGTGAGTGTAAGAAGAGGAAAACCCGTCCTTTGAGTTACTCTTTAATTAAAATGCCTGTGACGTTTCAGCCACTGTGACCAGCTGATGTCCACTAATAGTCGCATATCAGTCAAATCCCAGTGCTTTACTGCTTTATTCAACCAGTATTTATGCTGGTGATTGTTTTACCACTCAAGCTTTCATTAGCCTCCACAGGAAGTTTCTAAAATAGGTCAGTTCAGCTTCCTGGTTCATCTCAGTGTTTCTTAATCATACACTGCAGCACGAAAGAGAGACTATTTGAGTTTTTATGTACTGTCGAGCTTTAATTATTCGGGATGCACTGGGTTTCCGTTTGTTTTCCGTCCACACTGGTGACGCCTTGTGGTGCAAAACATGTCAAGCTTTAAATTTTGTTTATGCAACTACTGTTTACCATGGTATGCTTTGTGGCCATAAGTACTTATGCTTCTTCAATCTACGCTGGTGTTCAACCAGAAAGTTTATCCACAGGGATATTTGTACGTTTTGATGGTGGGGCTCTATTGGGAATAAGCCCTCTAATTGAAGCATCCAAATACTTTTAGTCGCATAGTTTATTAACGTGTTTACGTGGAGGGCAATTAATTATCTATTTTTATTCTCATGCTCAACCAATCTTAAATTGTTTCTATATTTATAACATTCATTTGTTTTATTCTGAAACATAAATGCATTAGCTTCCTGTGCAGTCATGTCCAGGATGACGAGCGTGTGTGGGAATGCTGAATTCTTGTTTTGGGGTTTTTGTTTGTTTTACTCCTCATTCTTCTGTTTGACGTGCTACTAAACTTTGTTACGTTTGCAGATTTCTTACACTATTATTACGCACACATGCACACACACATATAGTTTGGTGCAATTGAAGGTATAAAAAAGAAGCTGCTTTGGGGGGGAAAGGATTTACTACACTGAAATCTGTTTGACAGTGAAACACAAACTCAGAGTTCACCAGTGAGTATTCTGCTTTATCTCAGTGAAGGGACGACTCTTAACTTATTTATGGTTTCTAACTATTCTGTGGAATTAACTCTAACAAGTGTGGGTTTTTATGTGAGGGGTGGGGCTGCCTTTCACTGCTGACCTGTTACTTGGATATATTTGAAAGTATTAAACCTTAAGTGACCAGAGTCGGGCGATTTATCAGCACATTGTATTTTTTAACACAGGAAACAGTCTCAAATGGATGATGGTGATCATGTGATACATTTTATAAAGTAAACTGGTGGCTTTGTATTGGAAAGAGTCAGACGTCAGACATGAAGGCAGCTCCACCCTCTGTGTGTTTTATGTATGTTTGTA